TGAGGGTTCGTGGTTCCCGCGTACGGCCCCTTGAGGGTTCTTGGCGCGAAAATCGCTAGCTCGGGAAGCAAGAAGGCTGGAAGGCTAAAACTTTCAGGAAATGTTCCCAACTCATCTACAACTTCAGTTTATCAAATTCAGCCCCTCGTCTTTTGTGGCTGCCACGTACGGCCCCGGGAAAATTTTTGGCGGGAAAATGAATAACTCCGAAGCCAGGAAAGCTAGGAGGCTGAAACTTTCAGGAAATGGGCTGAAACTTCGTCCCCCCCCCTTGTGCGTGGTTGCTGTGAAATTTTCTGGCTGGAATTTGGGTAACTCGGGAACTGAGAAAGCTGAGAACCTGGCAATGTTTTCTATGCGTGTGTAGCGTGGATAATTCACTTCCCGATACTCGGGCCAGTGTGTACAAGAGGTTTCTAGCGAGCGGAATATCGAGTGATCTTATTACAGCACGAAACACTGCAAAAACGCATGATCGCATGGGCTCGTCGGTGCGCGTCGCCAATGATTTTTATTTTGCAAAGAAAAGACAAAAAAAGCGGAAAATTAATGCCAGAATCACTGGCACATAAACAATAAAATTGTACAGCCTCGATTATTTGATAGTGTTGCATCAGCGGCAAGGACAAGTTCGAAACAACACCTGGTCGGAAGAAGGGCATCGAAAAAAAAAATTCCTCTCGACGGACTGGCCATGCTTGTCAGTGCAGTGCTGGATAAAATAACTGGCCAGCTCGTCAACTAGTGAACCAAACTATGAATTGCCGAAGTAAATAAGCATCACTGTGGGCTAGAGGACAAGAGCATTTCCCAAATTTATAAAATTAGTTGAAAGCAGAAAAGAAATTGCTAAAGATCATAGTTATAATAAATGGAGATTGTGTATTCAAAAAGGTAGCAAAAATCGGAGTGAGATTGCGAGCGATCAAAAACTTCCATACGCTGCGCATAACTAGCATTAGCATAATCCTGGTTTCTGCACTTTCAGTATGACAAACCAACTTCAAACATGGAACTATTCTGTATGCAGAGTTTTTCTGCATCAATCTGTGAATGTCGTAGATGAAGAAGAGTAAAATGTTAAAATCGCAGGCTTATTGAATATAGACAATGTTCATTTGGAAGAAGTTTGGAATGTTGAAATTTTAACGGAATGTTGTTTGTCCAAGTATCACGTAGTTGCAAAATTAACTTCTCGAACTTCGTTGGCCAGTAAGTCACAAATTCTAGTCACTCGGTTTTCGATGCAAAATATTGCAAAAACGCATGATCGCAACGGCCCGCCTGGTGCGCGCCACCAATGATTTTTTTTTTGCGTTTTTGCATATATACAAATTGCAAGAACGCATATTGGGAAGAGACTGTGTATGTGTGTGTGTGTCTGTGTGTTCGCCCTTTTTGTCACCCACTTTCAGCTCGAGAACCGGAAAAGCTAAAAGGCTGGAATTTCAGAAGTATGTGTCCATATCATGTGCAACCACACCCCCTCCCCCCTTTTTTTTTATGCGTTTTGTGCTGTGTAACAGCAGTACAAAACGCATATTGTTACGGGGTTCTCTGTGTCTGTGTGTGTGTTTGTGTGTGTGTGTGTGTCCGCAACAACTTGTCCTCAACTTTCAACTTGGGAACCACAAAAGCTAGGAAGCTGAAAATCTACGGTAACGTTCCCCACCCACTTGTGACCCCGCAAATTTAAATTCAGTTTCCCTGTGCCCGCGGTGACGCGTACAGCCCCGTGAAAATTTTCTACGGGCAAGTTAATATCTCGGGAACCACGGAGTCTAGGAGGCTGAAATTTTAGGGTAATGACCCTCTG